GATGAAAAGGGCCTGACCCAATCCAAGTCTCTAGTCCAAATCCAGTGAGTCAAAGACTGGCCAGAGTTAAAGTTTAGCTCACACCTCAGGCCTGAGAGATTCAAACGGATACTGGCTGACTATATATCTGCCCCAGGGCAAGAGCTGTATGCCCTTCCTGCCTGCCCCTAGTTGTTTGTACCTCTCTCCTCCCTGCCCAAAGCAGGCCTGGAACCAGACAGAGCTGGTACTGGATGAAGACTCACCAGAGAAAGTTGGGTGGGGACATACACAGACCAAGGGCCCGGAACTGTGGGTTGGAGGTCTGGGTCTAAGCTGCTTAAGGCCATATGCCCTCCATTCTTACCTGAACTGGCTCTTCCACACTCTTGTTAAGGAAGTTGAGAGAGCTAGCCCTCTTCATCCTGAGGGAAGAGAACCAGGATTTATTCATGGTGAAGCAATAAAGGGACATCAGGCTGGGTCTCTGGAGGGAGGGCAGAATAAAGCAAACTTGGTGGTAGTGTTTCCTGGGAGAGATGGGAAGTCACTTTGGAGCCAACAGGATATGATCAGAGACAAAAACTCACCTAGAATTAGGGGGCTCCTGCGGGCCACCCCCCTGCAGCTTCCTGACCAACATCTCACTGCTACGTCTCAGGGCATCCCTGAGCTTCCCAAAGGAGCCACTGCGCCGCAGAGAGCCACTGCCATCCTGTGGGGGAAGAACTGTCTCTAGGCCCTACTTTCTTTGTAGCCTTACACCCTATCTCAGCCCCCCACACTCACCCCACTCCACTCAGCTGCAGGCCCTGACTCCTCCAGGTCAGACTCAGACCGGGGCCCAGCACCCCCAGACACCTCTCGGCTGCCACGGCGGTCTCCTCGTCCACCACTACCATCTTTTAGGAGTTCTACCACCTTGGTCTGGCTGGCAGGATCCAGGCCCTGAAAGGGGGCAGGAAGCATCAGGCCCTGGCTGAAGCACACGTGGGGCCTCAAAGGTCCCTATTCACCCTCTCCCACCATGGAGGCCCACCTGCTTGCGGCTACGGCTGGCACAATCTTCCAGTGTATGTGCAGCTTCCAGCTTACCCTGGCGCCGGTACAAAGCACCCAAGCTTCGCAGAGTGGTGTTGACTGTGGGACTGTAGACAGATAGCAGGGAGTCCCACACGGGGTTCTGGGGACCAACAGGCCATCCAGAATCTGCCCTTTCCTATTCATCTGACCCTGTGGTAGACCCATTGCCCTGTCCCATCCTGAGAGAACCACTCTCAGGCTAGAAACCTGGCCTGGCCCTCTAGTTCTCTTAGGACATTGCCAACACGACCAGAAACTAGGAGACCCAGGAGTGAGCAAACCAGTCCCAGGGGAGCTGTCCCAGTACACAGTCTTTTTGGGTTCAGGCTTTGAGAGATGAGCTAGCAGAAGAGAGGTATCTCAGAGGTGAAAGGATAGCGTGAGGCCTGGGTCTCACTGACCAAGGACGCTGTTTCCTTGGTCCTCACTTTACCCCTGACCCAGCCCTCACCTGTCAACCTTACAGGCTTTGTACCAGCTGCCATATTCCCCATAGGGGGCGCTGTCCCGGCGCTTATCCTGAGAGAGACCAGTCAGTTAGGGATGGGAATAAGTTCTCAGCTCCACACCTCCCAGCCTCATACCCGCCCCACACGTGCAAGCTCTGCCCACAGAACTACTTACCTTGCTCTCCTCCCTTTCCTCTGCATGCATCCAGATGGGCTTGTTCTCTCCTAGGAGGAAACAAGGAACTATCACCTGCCTGTCATATAGGTCTTTACAGGTGGGCTGGACAGGGACTAAATAATGTCTGGGGAAAGGGACAGAGGTGTGTAGGAAGCTACCAGGACCAGCACTGGGCTTTGCTGAATAGATGAACAAGAAGCAAACCCAAAACATCACTAACCCTCTGCTGCACCCAGATGAACAGGCCATAGGTCTGTGTCAAATGGCTATAAGTGAGGTGGTGTTAGGAGTGATATGGCAAGCCCTTACAAGCCTCAGACCAGAGACTTGTCGAAAACTGGCCTGAGACTGTTCTAAGCCTGGCCTGAAAGAGGGGCCAGGCTGGAGGATGGGGAATAGGAAATGGCTCATCATAGGGGCCAGAGGCTTTTCTGAGAAGGGAAGACACTTGGACCAGCTCTCAAAGTAAACGGCAATTGTCATGCAGAGAAAAAAGACTGGGCATAGTGGCACATGCCTTTAATCCCAACACTTGGGAGGCAGAGGCAGGTCTGGTCTACATAGTGAGTCCAGGACAGCCAGAGCTACATAGTTAGGCCTTGTCTCACAAAAACAAAACAAAAAAACAAACAAACAAACAAAAAAAAAAAACAAAGGGGGGGATGACTCAGCATGGGGTTTTCCAATTTGAATTAGGTGAGTGGGTTCCTGCAGATACCATCCACAGATGAGGCTGGGTTTCCTGCCAAACTCTAGACAGGATGGTCTGCAAAGCCAAGTACTATACTGGATGCTCCTGGCTGAGTAGGTCTCTGCTGAATGAACTGGAGGCATGTGGCAGTCATGGACTCACCATTGACAGAGCCAAACTCCTTCTCATGAGCACGGGTAAGGATCTCCTTGTACAGGGTCTCTGCATCCTGGTACTTGCCCTGTTTCAGGTAGCAGGAAGCCTGGAGAGGAAAGACAGTGGGTAAGCGGCATACAGGGACCTTAGTTTTCCTTCTCCTTCCTCCTGGACATCAGCCCTCTCTCCCTGCCTCCTTCCTTTCCAGCCTCCACCCAGCCTCAGAGAACCAGATTGTTCTTGGTCTTTGCCACATTGGGGTCATCTGGTCCAAGGCGTGTAGCATAGATCTCCAGGGCCCGCCGGTAGTAGTATTCCACCTCCTCAGCTTTACCCTGGTTCTGGCACAGCAAGGCCAGGTTGCTGAGCTGCTTGGCCACATCTGGGTGAAACTTGCCCAGGACCTGAGAAGAGTCAGTGGCTGTGGTCAGAGTTGCTCAGACTCTACTCTGTCTGGCCAGCACTCCTAAGCCCCATCTGCTCCCACCTTCTCCCGGATCTCCAGTGCTCGCTTGCACAGTGGCTCAGCCTCTTTGTACTTGCCCCGCTTGCCATACAGAACAGCCAGATTGTTCAGGGTTGCAGCCACCTGGGTGTAGGAGAATGGAGGTGCCTTCATTCAGAGCCCCAACAGGCAAGAACGCTGGGATTTGTGAGGGGTGGAGGGGGCCACACTCAATCCAATTCTTACTCACAGCTGGGTGGTCCTTGCCCAGTGTCTTCTCCCGGATAGCCAGGGCATCATTGAGGAGGTGTGCAGCATCCTTGTACTTGTTCTGGTCCCTGGGAGCAGGCAGGACATTCAGGGATGTCCTCTAGGCTGAAGCCTGCCCCCAGGGGCCCCCAGTTCCCGTAGGCACTCCTCCTGAGGTCATGACAGGAGTGCAACTCAGAGCATGGGAGGCCTGGACAGCCCTGCCCTTGAGAGCGTGGAAATTAGGCAGTTTATCACACATCACTAAGGACTCACCTCATACCCAGACCCCTGAGCAACACTCAACTTTAAGTGACCCCAGTGCCTTGGCTCGTTGTCACTTTTGCCACAGAAACCCTGTCACCCATTTTGAGTTCTGGGCCAATTTATGTTTCCACACCACTTTTCTTTCCTCATCCTTTCTCTTTCTAGGGTCTTGTGTATCCTAGGCTCACCTTGAACTAGCTGTGTAACCAATTTCTGATTGCCTTGCTTCTACCTCCTAAGTGCTGGAATTACAGTGTGTAGTACCATACCCGGCTTCCAATTGATGTTTCAAAGCCCATACTCAAGCCCGGGTGCCTAGGGAAGCTATGCTGACTCCCTGTGACCCTGGTGTTTTCAGGTGACATGTTGCTGTTGTTCACAGCCAATCTTTTCTTAAAGCTCTGACAGGCTTATTTCCAGCTGGAGGCCAGCTCTACATATGCAGGCCCTTCCTCAGCTGCTCAATTGTCCCTTGAGATATCCATCTGGAAGGGTACAGGTGTGCCCACACAGCCAGAGGGCCCTTACCGATAAACCAGTGCCAGGATGTTCAGCATAGTGGCCACATCAGGGTGGTCATGGCCTGACGTTTTCTCCAAATCCTCCAGTGCCTGCTTGCAGAGGGGCACGGCCACCTCATAGCGGCCTTGTGAAGCATACTGGATTACCAGATTGTGGAGGGTACGGAGCCGTGCTGGTATTTCATAGCCCCCATGCTGTGCAGCTACATCCCCTCCTCCAGGGCTGGGAGCTACAAGACCAAAGACAGGAAGTTAGATGTACCTTCTCCTTTCTGAGCTAGGCTGGCATATGTCAGCCTAGCTTTCTGCCCATGTGTTCCTGGGCAAGCCACCAGCCTGCCTCAGCTTCTGCACTTACAGAGTAGGTCTAATTATTGTACAAGGAGTGAGTCCCAGCCCTTCATCTCATCTGCATTATGAGTGAGGCAATCATGACCAGCTCAGCAAGGCCCTGGATGAGTTTTCTCTGACTGTCTAGGGAGGCCCAGAAAGAAACTAACAGAAGAGCCAAATTCAGATCCCCAGACCTGCTAAGCATGCCCCATGCTCACCACAGAACTCAGGGATATAAGATGCAACAGGGAAGACTTGCCTTCTAAGTCATAACATGCTGGGATAATGTGATCGGAAATGAACAAAAAGAACACAGAAGCCACTAATCCTCCATCTCCTGTGACCTTTAGGACTTTACACGACTGTTGGTTCCCTCAACCCAGAGCTAAGTGGCCTTCTCTACCTGGGCTCTGCTCATCCTCATTGGGAAACAGGTCATCTAGGGAGTCTTTGGGGACATCACCCTTCTCCTCCTGGAAAGGAAGACAGGAATGAGTGTCAGAGAAGATGGCACAGGTATCAGTGGGCATGTGGTACTGGATGTTGGCCAACTGAGGCTCACATTTGGGGAAGCATCCTCATCCAGCTTGCGGATCTGGCTCATGAATAACAGGTGCTGCTTCTCTTCCTCCAGCTGAGCCACCGCCTGTTCACTGCGCTGCAGCTTCTGCTGTGTACCTGCCAGCTCCTCACGCAACCACTGGTTCTCCTGTACCAGGCGCCGCACCTGAGCCCGCAGCTTCTGCTTCTCTGACTCCACAGCCCCCAGATGGCTTGACAGTGCCAGGATCACCTGTGCAGTCAGGCAGAAGAAGGTCAGAGTCCTAGCCATCCCTTAGCCTGTAATTACAGCCTCAGCCACCTGGGGAGCCAGTGAAAGGCCTGGCCATGACAGAGAGTAGCTTTTGCTATTAGGCTGGAGTTCTCCCCTACCCCAGGGTCAGACTTCAGTAGAGGGCTCAAACCAAGAGGAGGTCTGGTAATTTTGACTGCCAGGATCCCTGTGGGATCTCTGAGCTCTCAGACTTCCTTTAGTTCTTCAGTTTACACTCCACCCACTACAGCTATGGCCAATGTATCACTGCTTCCTGCCCAGCGCTGTGCTTACTCAAAGAATCCTGATAGGTGACCGAAAGGCCACAGAAAGACCTCATACTGACTTCTCTGTGCGTCCACAGCACTCTGGCTGCTGAAGGGAAGAGAAGCAGCATGTCCCCAAACAGTCTGAAGAACCAACCCAGGGACAGGTAAGAGGATCTACTGGCCCTTAGCTTCACTCAGCTCTTTCAACATCTGAAGCCCATGTTAATGTTCCAGGTTCTGTCTGTGCTTCAAGGGCCAGAATCATTGTCTCTTCTCAGGCATGCTTTCCCTCCACTCCATCTCCACTGCGGGAACCCTTTATGCCGTTCTGCTCCCAGTCTGTGAAAGAGCTGCACACTAGTGAGAGAGGAGCCCCTTCTGCCTCTCTGTACCTGACAGCTAAATGCCCAAGGGGGCAACACTGCCTTTCCAGAAGCCTGGGAAGTCTAGGGCCCTGCATTTTTTAATTTGTTTACAAACATTTTAAAATTTAATTTACTTTTGTTTTTCTTTCAAGACAGGTTTTTCTCTGTGTAGCCCTGGCTGTCCTGGAACTCTTTAAGTAGACCAGGCTGGCCTCAAACTCAGATATCTGCCTGCTTCTACCTCCTGAATGGTGGAATTAAAGGCATGCATCACCATACCCAGCTGTTTGAAAACAGTTTAAGGGACAGGTGTTTTTATAACCACTAGTTAAAAAATAAAAGTCCCTATGGCACACGCTTTTAATCCCAGCACTCAGGAGGCAGAGGCAGGTGGATCCTTGTGCATTCAACACCAGACTGGTCTACAGTGAGTTCCCGGACAGCCAGAGCTATGTAGAGAGACCCTATCTCAAAAAAACGAAACAAACAAAATGGTCCCTAAGCAATCTGGAAGTATACACAACAGATGGCATGATCACTATTTTAAAGAGAAGGAAACCAAGACAATACAAGCAGCCCAAGATTCTGAAGCCAGGCAGTGGCTTGGCCAAGAACCAAAGAGACTAAAACCCTTTCCCACAGAACCTAACCCCTCCCTGCCCAACAGTCCTCTTTATGGGGGCCTCAGCAGAACTCCTAAGTAATCCAGGTTCTTTCATCACTGAACCTGCCGAAATCACAAACTTCCAGGACCTGTTCTGTGCCTTTTCTTTCTTCCTCCCCTGGTCCTGCTAAGCCTCCTTCCAGAAGATCTAGAACTGGTGTCTTCATGGTTGCCCATCTCATCGGAAGCCCAGCAGTGGCTTCCTCATCACTGTTCCAAGTCCATTCTTGACCTGCTAGTGTTAATTCTCCATAGCTCACAGAGAGTTTCAATACCTAAGTTGGACTATGTTCTCTGCTTGTTAGCGCCCTCCCAAGGCTTCCTGATGCCCTGGACATATGTTGGCTTCTGTTCCCCACAGGCCTCTCCTGTCCCCCTCCACAAGCTCTAGTCACACAGTTCTCCCCTAGCCTAGCTGCCTCTTCTGGACACTGGCCCATCTCCTCCTTCAGCTCTTGAGTTAATGTCATCTCAGAGAAGTCTTGCCTGACCAATAGACAAGACTTTTACTATAAACTCTCACAAGATCTTACTGTCTTTGAATCACTGATCACAATTTGTTCCGAGCAATTAATCAAATGTGTATATGTGTTTCTCCTATTGCATAGGGGTAAAAATCTTAATTTGGAGGGGGAAGTAAGGTGGGACAGGGTCTCACCATGTGACCCAAAGTGGCCTGGAACTTGAACTCCTCCCACCTCTGCCTCTTAGGTTCTGGGATTACAGACAGCATGCCCAGTGAGGACAAGGATGTTGTCTGCCTTGTTGAATCCCGCATCCTTGACATTGGCGAGCTGCCTGGCACACACTAAGCAAGTGGTAAAACTACAGAGCTTAATGAATTAATGCAAGATTGATTTTGTTTTTTGTTTTTTTGTTTTTTGTTTTTTTGTTTTTTGTTTTTTTGGTTTTTTCGAGACAGGGTTTCTCTGTGGCTTTGGAGCCTGTCCTGGAACTAGCTCTGTAGACCAGGCTGGTCTCGAACTCACAGAGATCCACCTGCCTCTGCCTCCCGAGTGCTGGGATTAAAGGCGTGCGCCACCACCGCCCGGCCTTAATGCAAGATTGAATTGTGAAAGGAGGCTATTGAAGCATTTCTGTTTTCCTCTGCCACCCAGTCTGTTAGGTAGAACGGGGCCTGAATGGCACAGCTTATGTGGAGGTAGGGGTATCCACCCAGGCAGGGCTGGCATCTCCAAAGTGTACTGATTTAACATTACTTACTGTCCTAGCATGGCACTTCCAGAAACAAGTGTTTCCTCACTGAGAGTGTTCCTACATTTCCAGGACCTTTCTAGTAATCTTCCACTTTAGCCCCAACACTGACCTACCTGAGCCTCCCCAAGTCCCAGCTCGATGGCCTCCAGGGAGCGGCGCAGGAGGAGGCAGCGCTCCTGCGAGCCTGGCTCGGCCTCGCTTGCCTCATGAGAAGCCAGGGGAGCCAACAGGGCACGATGCTCTCCGCGCAGGGTCTCTAAACCCTGGATAACAGCCTTGGTACCCATCACGATCTCGTCCTGGCTCAGCTTCTCCTCCCGCGGAAGCACCATCGTAGCCATGGTCGTGTCTTCTGCGGAGGCAAGAGGCGGACAGGCGGGCGCCCGGCCAAGGGTCACACCACCGTGCACCCAAGGTTAGGTAAACACCGGGAAGTCCCCGTACGCCTAGGTCCCCAAGGGTGCCCAGATCCCCCAGTCCGCAGCCCGCACTGTGCCAGCCTCGGCCTACAGGGGGCGCGCCAAGCTCGTCTCGCCTAGGGAGACGCAATGCGGTGAGGCAAGTGAGGCTGGACCCTGATTCCTCCCTAGACCACCGGCTCAGACAGGCTTTCGTGGCCCAGCCACGGGGCTTTCCCGGAACTGTCCATGTCCAGACACAGAGCACTAGGGTACTGTAGGGGGATCGTAGGCGTTCCTATGCCGGAGACCACAGCCCCTCCGGGCGGTCGGGATTCAGGCGACAGACCCCTCCCCCGGGGCAAGCGGAACGGTAGAGCCCCTCCCCCAGGGCAGGCTGAGCCCAGACTCCCCCTTCCACCGCCCCCGAGGCAGCGGTCTAGAGTAACGGGACAGGTTTCTGCAGGCCGCGCCCACAGCGACCACTCCCACAGGCTGGCCAAACGCCTGCAGACCCTCCCTAGAAAAGGCCCCGCTCCCAACCCCAGCCCAGGACCGCGCCCCCTCCCCGCAGGCCGGTCGGGTCCTCCCACAGGCCGCGCCCACGACGACTCCTCCTCTAGGCCGACCTGCAGCCGCTCCTCACTGTAGGGTCTGACTCGGTCTCCCGGCCAAACCGGCCCGCGCCAACCTGCACCTTCTGCTTGGGTCAGTCTCCGGCTGCGGCTTCTGCCCCGCTTCACCCGGATCCGCGACCGTGAGCTTGTCTAGCTGCCTCCATCCCGCCGGCCTTCCCAGCAGTCCCCGCGCCGCCTTAAAGGTGAAGCCGCTACCTCGGCGGCGTCGGAGGGGGCGAAACGCGCTTCGGCAGGCCAGTTCTCTGTCTTAAAGGGGCCCAGCGGGCCTGCCGGCTCCGGGGTGGGGCCAACCCTGAAGGGACACCGAAGGGGCGTGGCTGGACTTGCCCCCTGGGACCAGAGCTTCCTGGTCTGTGCAACACCCTGGGGCTCAGTGGCTGACCAGTGCTGACTGAGGAGCTAGAAGATCCGACCTCCTCTGAGCCTGGAGCAAGACAGTCCACATTTATTGATTGAGCAAAGTCAAGTGTTTTGGTTGCTATCTTTTGTTTGTTTGTTTTTGTTTTTCGAGACAGGGATTCTCTGTGTAGCTTTGGAGTCTGTCCTGGAACTCGTTCTGTAGACCCGGCTGGCCTCGAACTCACAGAGATCTTCCTGCCTCTGCCTCCCGAGTGCCGGGATCAAAGGCGTCCACCACCAACTCTCGGCCTTGGTTGATGTTTTAAGCGCATTAGCTTAAGGCTCACAAAGGCTTATTGAGCTGGGTACTGCCGTTACCCACATCTGACTCCCCTCCCTAGGCTTGTTTGTTCCTAGAGACATCCGCCTTCCTGGCTTCGGAGTTGTTGTGAGGGAACAGAAGGAGGCTTCTTGGTAAAAGGGAGGAAGGGATGGAAAGGAGCAGGCTGAGAATGGTGGAGAAGACCCTTGTCCCTGAGGGGACCATCAGAGCTGACCAGATAGAAGTCAGAGGAGTTGTTATCTTTGGTCTGGGGTGGTGTCATTGGGGGCCTCAGATTAGGTGGCACCAACTTGGAAGGAAAGACCTCTGTGCTGGCTAGTTTTATGTCAACCTAACCCAAGCTAGAGTCATCGGAGAGGAGAGAACCTCAACTGAGAAAATGTCTCCCTAAGCGCAGGCTGCAGGCACTCCTGTTGTGGGAGGGTCCGGTCCATTGTAGGGGGAACCAGAAAGCGGGCTGAGCAAGCCTGGAGGACAAGCTAGTAAGCAGCACCCCTCCATGGCCTCTGCATCAGCTCCTGCCTCCAGGTTCTGCCCTGTTTGAGTTCCTGTCCTGACTTCTTTCACTGATGAGCAGTTAGCCAAACAATCCCCCCAAGTTCCTTTTGGTCATGGTGTTTCATCACAGCAACAGAGACCTAGGACACCTTGGTCCTTAGCCTACCAGATTTACAGCACTCTCTGACCTCCACAGCACACCCGCAGCATCAACCTTACTAACATTCCATTGGTTTGCCTTCTCGAATGCAGGTCATCACCTGCCGGTCAGGACCTAAAGTAGCTCAAGACAGAGAATACAGCAGCACACAGTAGATGCTAGTTTATTAAAAAGTGGGGGGAGGGGAGGGGAATTCCTGGAAAGATGGCTCAGTGGTTGAGGACCCAGGTTACATTCCCAGCACCCATGTGTTTGCTCACAACCATCTGTAATTCCGTTTCCACGGCATCAGGTGCAACCTTCTAATTTCTTTTTTTGTTGTTGTTGTTTTTTGTTTTTTGAGACAGGGTTTCTCTGTGGCTTTGGAGCCTGTCCTGGAACTAGCTCCGTAGACCAGGCTGGTCTCGAACTCACAGAGATCTGCCTGCCTCTGCCTCCCGAGTGCTGGGATTAAAGGTGTGCGCCACCACCGCCCGGCAACCTTCTAATTTCTGCAAGGCACCGATCAGCCATGTGGTACCCAGGACAAACACGTGGCTGAAACACTCATTCACACATAAATAAATCTGGAAGGAGAGAAAAAGGACAAGAGAAATACACTTACCAGTCCTCTCAAACCTAGGCTTGATTCGATTGTCTATAACAATGGCCAGCGCCAAGATCCTCACCTAACCTCCTGGTTGACAACTCTAGGAGCTGACAGCAAGCTCATCCCCATCACAAAATCCACAAACTGGATGAGTAGGGATGAACTCAGCACTTGGTGCCATCTTCCACAGTTTGAGTATATGCTGTGACAGGGAGCTCTCTTACGAGACACCCAAAATATGAGAAAGTGCCCTCACCCACTCCCAAGACAGGGTCTCATGTAGCTCAGGCTGGCTTCAAATTTGCTATGTACCTGAGGGTAACCTTGAACTTCTGTCTGCCATCATCTCCCATGTGCTAAAATTGTTACCACATCCAGCTGGATGGCTTGCTTGAGACCAAACCCAAGGCTTCATGCATGCTAGGCAAGCACTCTACAGACTTAGCTGCACCCCCAGCTTAAAGTGCCTTCCTTATATACTCATAACTTCTGTCTTCAGCAAGGACTTGGCTTCCTTTCACCAACGGAGATACTCAGAGACGGAACATGCCCTACTCATTCTTTTCCTTATCTGGCCTAGCTCCATGACTTTCAATGAGTGCTATTACAGCTTCCTGGCCCTTCACCCCTGTCATTCCAGATGCTGCTCGTAACGTGGTGGCAGGGCCCAATGATCCCGAATGAGTGAACTGTATAGTCACCAAGTGATTGGGGCTAGTGATGTGTGCACCTGCACAGTAGCAGTGGTAGTACCTGCCTGCAAATAAACAAAGATACAATCTTTCCACTAAGCCTAACTTTGGCAGCTACCAGGAGAGTTTGTAGTCTGATAAGACACTAAGTTACCACTTCTACTTCAGTGAAAACCCAGAACCACCAGGTTCTCCTTGATCTTGTTTTGCTTTGAACAGTGATTATTACTACATTTCAAAATTATCAGCTGGACAGTGGTGGCGCACGCCTTTAATCCCAGCACTCGGGAGGCAGAGGCAGGTGGATCTCTGTGAGTTCGAGGTCAGCCTGGTCTACAAGAGCTAGTTAGTTCCAGGACAGGCACCAAAGTTACAGAGAAACCCTGTCTCGAAAAACCAAAAAAACAAAGAAAAAACAAAATTATCAAACCTTGAAAAGAGTGATAGTGCACACCTTTAATCCCAGAGCTAGACTAGGATCTGTGAGTTCAAGGCCAGCCTGGTCTATTGCTCAGAAACCATCTTTTTTATTTGTTTTTCAAGACAGGGTTTCTCTGTGTAGCCCTGGCTGTCCTGGAACTCACTCTGTAGACCAGACTAATCTTGAACTCAGAGCTCTGCCTGCCTCTGCCTCCTGAGTGCTGGGATTACAGGTGTGCGCTGCCATGACTACCACCTGGCAAAGGGACCATCTTCTTAGCTGTTGTTCTCAGGCAGCTAAGGCTCTCGGTGACCAGTTCTTCCCTCTTGCACCTCTAGTCCAAATAGTTTGTCACTGGGAGTGTGTGGGGAAACCATCATGGAAGCCAAGTGGCATGCCATTGCCAATGCAGTGGCACAAACGTGCATACTCTCAATTCACCCGACACAG